ACGCAAAAAATGGGACAGTCACACGATAGGATTAGAAAAACCAGTGGAAGAGAAAGATCTGTGGTTTTTTGGAAGGGGTATAGTTGAGTACACGATAAACGTGAGATCCGGATCAATAGGTTTTGTGGATATCAAGCCGTTGTGGACCAAAAATGGTTCCACAAAATGTAGCAATATCTTGTTTGAACTGGACAATAAAATTAGAAGTGAACTAGGCGAGAGGTTTTGTGGATATCAAGCCGTTGTGGATCAAAAATGGTTCCATAAAATGTAGCAATATCGTGTTTGAACTAGACAATAAAATTGGAAGTGAATTAGGTGGGTCAAAAAGATAACCTGTCCCCAGAAGATGGCGAACAATGAAAGTCACCAAAAAAGTTTGATCGACCAGTCTGTGGAGGTCACCGGCTTGCCAGAGATACTCGTTCTGAAACGCGACCAAGGTTACCCCAACTGCAGCTGAATCGACAGACCTTCCACCAATCTTTCTATGCCTCTGGACGAGGGCGAGCCTTTGTAACACTTCCGTTCCCTCAGTAAACCTAATGCTGTGATCATGGACCAAAATTGCTACTGAACCACGAAGAACATAGAACTTTCCGATAAATAATTGAAAGTCAAGTGCGATACCCCCCAAAAAATATACAATCCACCAGACTTTGCTTTGAATTCACACTCAACCATGAGAAGTCCTCAGTTGGGTTATAAAATTTCTCATTTCCGATGACCTTTCAGTTCATGTTCTTTGCGGGATTCTCTTGACCTTTGACCTATTTGAGAGGATATGCAATTAAATTTTATAAGGCCGTTTTTGGTTGGCGTTTTTTGTTCTTTTGGCTTGCGAAATGGTGCAGTCTTTAGTTTTTGTCACTTGGTTCCCATGTTCGACTCCCTAAATAAATCCTTTTTACTACGTGAGAAGACCACTGGCTTTAGGCATGAAGTTGATGCCTGCAGTTTGCTTAAATTATGACGAAATACTGTAGCGTCATCTTATTTTTTCGTAAGTAAACTGAGACGAATTGTTGTAAAAAAAACTAGCGTATTTTGCGAATCGCGGACAAATTGCGTTCAGATAGACTATTAGGTAGACGGAAACATGGGGACTGGACGTACCTGATGAGCCCCAAGAAGGGAAAAAGTGAAACTTGGCTATTAGGGTTTTCAGCAACTTTGTGTGTAGTTTCCTTCGAGATGATATACTACTACCAAATGAAACATAAGGTGGTTTTTGTGGGGCACACTTAGTTGAAGAATATCACAGGCAAAAGTTTTAGCCGTGATTTGTTTGAGTCTCCCGTTACGAGTAAATGAGCTTGCAAATGAGTGTACTTTGCAAAGCTTGGGCTCAAGTAGAACATACTCGAAGACTGTACCTATCTGACGGGTGCTAACAAGGGGGAAACCACTGGTGAGATGCAGGAGAGTTTTCAGTAAACTTACTCTCAAGAAAACAAAATGATGCTTCTATACAACGGTTAGTTTATTCGGTGCGGATTTTCTCAGAGTAATGTTCATTGATTGATGATTTGTATGGGTACAGCGAGTTTTATATATTTAGCTTTTACTGATGCATCTTCCTCATCAAGACCCCCGTTAGTTGGCATGCAATGTCTTGACGATATTCTTGTTTTTAGCTTTCGGTTTATTTCAGATTACGTATAAGAGCCCTCGATGAGTGTAGCTCAGTCTTCCCTGAAACTTTTGTAACTAGGCTACCCGATGGACCCTAGGGCCATGAATTCACCACAAAATCATATGAGGGTGGATGTCCACATGAACAGAACTTACTAGGAAGAACTTCGCATAAAGCCCGTTGAATGTATACAGCAGTACTGCTAGCAATGAAAGACCACTTGCAGAAATGGGTGAACGGTTGCCTGAAACGAAGTTCTTGGGTGTTTCGTTAAATGCTGATGACTCCCAATAAGAATAAACCATTTATACTGGGCTCCTTGGCTTTTAGGAAAGATTGACTTCACTTACAAAACGGAATCCCAGTTAAAATTACACAAAAGATGTTATCACCCCATTAAACCGGGTGTGTGTATGCCATTAATGGCTAACCATCTATCAAGTATTAGTCACCAGGATATTACTAGACCAATGAATAACGCAGAAATTCGTTTCAACTGTGAGGAGATGATGCTGTAGGGTTGCCGATCTCGTAACCTCACGTGTCATTTAAACAGCTTACTTAGGAACCAGGACAGGACAATCGATCGACCGAACTCAGGCTTCCATGGCGGTCCATTCTTGAGCTTGTCGTGAAAACGAAGGCCAGGACTGTTAGCGTGAATAAGGCTATGTTGACCGACACTAAACGGGCAACTTTGAGCTCAATGAAATTAATAAGCGGTAAATGAAGTCATCCTTATCATTCTCCTTAACTTTGCTGACTTTGTCATGTGCACTTCAGAAACGTTTTCACGGTCTCTGACAGCACAGCCCTCAAAAGTAGAATAAATCACAGAACGGTACACGGAAGCACACCGGGAGACATCTCCAATCTGAATTCCAACCAAGAGAGACAGAAGGCCCAACTACCGGTGCAACTGTTCGTCACTTAAGTCAGGCTACTGAAAAATTAATTAGTAGCAAGTTACTTCAATGTTGAGTGGCGAAAAGTGGACTTAATCCGGGTGTTCACAGCTCTTGGCTGTGAACTACACAAGAATGTCATAATAAACACCAAAACCTAACTGAGATAACTGAAATTCAAATTCAAGAGGCACTGTTTTCTGTGTACTCGATGGGCCAGGTTATTCGGGTGTGTGTTTCACTTTCGACGTGTACCGTCTAAGAGATCGCTGATTCAGACCTGATACTTCGTCCAATTAAACCAAGTGCTAAGAAAGTTGTTGTGGACTCAGAAAAAGGAGCACCGGAAATGACTAGATTGTGGACCACAAGCGTACACTTTATCTGAGACAGCCATCACTTGGATCAATTGTACGGGATCTATGTTGCCTGAGAGACTTAGCGAATGCCCTGGTAAATCGAACTGAATTACCAGTGAAGTTGTGGATTATATTAAGTAACATATACAGACGTAATACACTACTCATAAGGTTGCTGAAAATTCTTCAAAACCTCCCAAACGAGAGATTCAGTTGGGCTCCAGGTAAGTCTCCCTAAAAACTAAATTTGTTTGCAAATGAGTATGTTTCTTTAGCACATGCAGATCACTGCAGACCAAACGGATTGAGGGGAGGAGTTGAAGCCAAGAATAACGCATAACTCCAGTCACGTCTTGGCCGAAGACAAAACTTTTCATATTTACCAACATCTGTATTGAAAATCTATCTCCTGCATATTTGTAGTTCGAGTGTCTAGTGCAACACTTGGGCCATTCTGAACTATGTTGCCAAAAAATTCAACCGTACATTGGAGATAGAAGAACACCTGAAAGTTTAGTTAGTTTTTTCCACAGATGAAGGAACGTAACAGTATCCTTCTATATCCGACATACAAGAACTAGTTGTGTTCCGACTGTACACTTTGAATAGGCCGGCCAACGCATGACTGACTGTATGACAGGGAAGTTTGTAGGTGGGCGCTGCTGGATATCTTGGTTAACCTGTTGCGACAAAAAATACTAGAGAAGCAATGAAATTCCCGGAAAACTGAACCCAGAAAGCCGATTAGCAACCAAGTATAAAACTGCTAGAGGTTAAAGGAGTTATTTATTAGAAAATGCCAACTGACCAGTTACAGACTATTGGACAGGGAAGCAAACCTCTTATTTGCATCTTATTTACAAAAACAGAACACCCATCTTCCCCTGAATGCGTCTTCTATGAACATTCCTGGATATGTATTGCTTCAAATCATTCACTGCTCAAATTCAAGCAAATGCTACAAAGCGACTCCACAAATTCCACAACAGATCTTCAAGAGACGCGAACTTACAAGAAGAAAACATACTACTCGCATGCCTCCCCATCAGTAGTATCACCGTTACAGAGGTAGCAACGCGCAACCATGAGAAAGTCACTGTTCCCCTTGAGGTCGATTTAGGCTTATATGGCTGCTACACACGGGTATGGTGACAAAGCGTTTGCAAACCAGTCGCCGAGATCAGTGAACAAATCACTTGATCGAAAGCTGAAGTTCAACGGACACCTTTCCCCACTTAAGATAGATAGTTACGTGCCCCACGAACTCTGCAGACCACTGAACGAGAATGAGGGTGGTTAAAACGATCAAAAGACCAATGAACTTAGCATGGTTTCCAGATGACTCAAGGTCGTACCACAAAAGTGGTACGATAGATATTTACCTAGATATCTAGATATCTAGATATTTCCTAGATATTTACCAACGTTTGTTCTGGTTACCGATGTAACTTAAATCTTTTGTTGCTTTCTAAACTCAACATAGTATCCCCACACCTTCTTGGGGTCGAATCGATTGGACGTGCTCAATGAAAAGCTCGATTTGGTTAGTTTGTGGGAAAGTTCAACTGAGAACTTTACAGAGTGAAAGAAACTATGCGGTCTTTTCAATAGTACAGCCTAGCAGGGAGCGTGTTTTTAGCAAATAACACTCCAGATAGAATCTTTAAGTTAGTTCACAGTGGACCAAAATGAAACTAAAAAGCGAACCACTCAAAACTGATAAAATAAGTCTTGTGTGCTAAAAACCAGAGGTGAATATGAGGAGATATACAGGTAGCTTGCGAGGTATGCCTGCCCAATCATGTCTTGGAATAAAAATCAACATGAAATCAACGTAAAAACCTGGTTACCTTGGTGTGATATGAGGCAAACCTCATTTTGGAATCATGTGTAAAAATTGTACATTCATTGATGTAGCTTTTTTTTGAAGATTTCATTTGACTCAGCCGCTTAAAGAAAACATGTGCGACACTTGAAATAATTATTAATCTCAACCTTTGGTGTGAAGCTTTGATTAGTCTGAACAAGTTAGTTGGGGATCGGCAAATACACTGTCTATTACCGAGGAGTTTGGTTGCGGTGGACGGACAGTGGCCTGCCTTCTTGTTGATATGTAACCCCGCACGGCGAAAAATAGTCTCGCCGGTGATTCATGTTGGAGTTTCGACTTTCTTTCATTTTGACGTCAGTCGAGCTAAACACATCACGCCATACCTATTCGATGGCCAAGTTGCACGCAATTGCAAATCACTCACCTACCAACCGCATCACCATTTGTCGACTCAGTCTACTTTTTCCCTTAATTTCATATCATCCAGTCACTAGTGTAGATCGAAACCGTGAAAGGACATTGGTCAAGTCAAACTCTGCGCACGCCATGGATGCCAAGTGTTGGGAGTGGCGCGCGGTTGAATGCCGCCTATCCTGTTTCTTCTTAAGCCAATGCACGTTACCGCCTGTATCATTCTCTTCTACCTATTAGACTCAACCCCGGTGACGTTGTTCCCATGACAACCACAAGCATTTCTTCCACTTCCACACAGGTTTCGTCACGAACTGGTTCTGGGTCACATGATTTTGAAACGCTTTTACGAGGATAATTTGGCACGGGAGTTGAGTCCATCCCAAAAGCGGTAAGGATTCATTCGTACGTTGCGTGTTGCCTGTTGCTGCGGCATGACTATGTAACCAAATTGAATGCAAATTAAATGTACCGCTCTGGTTTCTCACTTTGCATAAAGTTAAAACCACAGTGTGTGATAAAATCAAACCGGTTACCCGATGTGAATTGGAGTGGAAACTTGGCGAGTTAAAAATTTATCAAACTTTTTTATTCAGTCTGACATGGGAGAGCAAATCAACGGAAATATCAGAGAGCATGAGTTGTCAGTTTGAGGATAAAGTATTCTTTTTTCCAAAAAAAAGTTCCTCAGAAGTGAGTATTCTTTCTCAAACAATGCAAGTCGCACAATAGGCACCACCTAGTAGCAACCACCCAAGGAAAGGTCACTTTCCCTGGGGTGTACTATCAGTGATATTTGCCCAGCGAAACGTGCTTACTTGGACATTCTGTGACTAAAGTAGCGTTTGCCTGATTAGTCAAGGTTGTGCTGTCGCATCTAACCTCAGCGTGGCATACACAGTGTGAGGAACTTTCAGAAAGAGTTTCCCCAATTCCCAGGAAAGAAGAATTTGTCAGCAAACCAAAGGAAGTATTCCATTGACATGAAAATATACTTTGTTTGAAAAAAGCCTACAGAGGTGGTGATCTAGGGGATACAGCAAGAACATTCAAAAGCTAGGCTTCAGTTATACAGCTTAATTTACAACCTTTTAAGTCTACACTAGAGTTACACACTTTACTGTCCTGCGTTTACCTTCAGTTTAGTCAATATGGGGAGGGTACCGGGTTTCCGATCTTTAGATTATTTCAGTTTTGGCAAAAAACTCCCCACTGCCGTTTAAAATACGTGGTACTTTTAATGATTATTTTGTTATATCTGCTGATTCGCCAATCTGTGGTATCTGCTGCTGACCCGCTCCAGTGCCCAGTGCCTGAAAAAAGACTCACATAAGGGAACACAACCCCTATATTCCGAACCAGCGAGTGCGAGAGCAAAAGTTACAACGGCCCCACGCTATTTGAAGGGGACTTTCTGACATTGATCCAGACTGTCTGATAGGCGTTAGTGAACACCCATCAACATCGATCGTGCCTTTATGAAATGCCTAAACGCAGATCACATTCGGTCGTGTGGCCTGCATGAACGACCATCAGCTTTTGCTGAATTGAGTGAATGACTTACTGGCCTGGATGCCTGCCGGCTTTCCTGTTGAGATTTTGGTGGAGCATTAGGTTCCGGGTGTTGTAAGTTTACTTTCAGGAATCTGACCTTCCTGATATATACCAAGACAGATGTTGAGCGTTGTTCAATATTAACGCTGGTTTACGGACGTCGAATCAATCTCGGAAGCTCAGGTGGCAGCCGCAGGGTGATACCGTGGATAAAGGATAATTTGCACTATATCCTGTCTAGCTGTGATTTGGTCACGTGTAGCCACTTGTGACCTTAGTCTCCAAACACTAAATGGGAGGACGCGCGTCCCAGGCGCCCTTGCAATGAGTATTATTGATGATTCTTAGTAAGGAAGGAACAGCTATATGTTGGCATTCGGCATCTATGCCTCCTTACAGGACGATATATTAATTAGCTATTGTATTCACGAGCCCCCCCCCCAAACCTCTGGGCATGTGAGAGTTTAAAATCAGCTGTCCAGAAGATTTCTTAAAAGAAAAGCCGTCCGCTCTCTCTCCATTCCCAGTTAGCCTCATCGTGACTGTACTAATGAGGAGAATACTGGAAGGTCTTCAATTAATCGGTGTTCAACTCGTTGCTGATGAGAATCACGTCAGTTCGGAGTATGCAAAAGACGTGGTCCTCGTTTTTAGGGACAAAAACGAAACAATAGCCCTGTTGACCACCAAAATGTCATCTTCCGGCATGAGCGTTGCACCTAAAAAGTGCACAACCATGCTTCAGGAAGTGTACTCTCTGAATATACGCCTTACAATTCAAGGAGAATCCCTAGAGGTTGGGAGGGAGTCTTAGCTCTGATGGCAGTGTGTCTGATGAAGTCAGTGCGCGAACATCAAAGGCACAAAACACGTCTGCTAATCTGCATCACCTGTAGCATCACAATGGCATTTGGTCTCAGAGTTCTTCTATACCAAGCCACAGTAAGGGCTGTTTTTTGTTTTGTTTTTTAGTTGGGAAACATGGCCTCTGTGGACAGACGATATGGGCCGTCCTCAAGTTTTTGACCACCGATACCGCAGAAGCGTTGCAAGTATCGGATGACATCAACAAATTCGTGACGAGATTATTAGAAAAAAACAAGTGCTTTATTGTATAGTAGGTACTTCCGTCGCAGAAACTATCCAGTACCGTCAGGTGCGTATGCTTGCTTATGGTCTAAGCATACCAAAACATCATCGACCGGAGGAAATATTGCTCTTGGTGTCCCCTTCAGAATGGTGCAAACCGTGAGGTGTACAACGCATGACTTGGCAGTTCAACCTGTAGGCGAGCGATAGTCAAGCGCCAGGTGCCCTCCCTCACCCACTCTTTTACCCTGTCTCCAATCCACGTCTTCAAATATAATTAAATGATTATATACTAGCATTTGGTTTCCACGAGAGACCTATCTAAAATCTCGTTTCAAATGAGTGTGCTGAACAAAAGCCACCTTATACTTCAGAACTGGTACGATATTCAAAATATCGCAGTATATTTTCATAAAGGAAACTACTCACAAGGTTGCTGGTAACTCTTCAACAGCCAGCGATTGGTCTCACCCTTCTTGGAGTTCCTCAGGTAAGTGCAGTCCCCGACCTTATGTTCTACTTGAATCCAAAGTGGACATCCAGTTGAAGAACACCTTAAATGAGAGACTTAGTTGAGTCTCTCCTGTGAAAAACAAATTGGTATGCAAGAGTGCCTTTATCGAAATCTGTCCAGTTTGGGTTCAAACAGAGCTTAAGACTGAAGGAAATTCGGGAACTTCGCTCCCTTAAAGGCGCGACCATTCGTGGGATGTCAGTGAGTTTTCGCCAAAACTGGGAGTAGTTTCCTTTATGAAAATAATTAAACAAACTTTGTGGTTATACGGTAATGGGGCCTGAGCATCGACGTTCTTGTTGCTATCCCCGGTGGTGATGACGATGATGACCGCCGCGTAGATACAACAGATACAGGAAGCCAACTTTAGTAGGCCAGCTCACCACTTCCGAAGATTCGCGTGCGTTAGGGTGAACAGAAATCTGGTGTGGTGTCTCTCCAGTAGGATGGAGGATATTTGCATAGAAGGTAGATTGCAGCCGGCGGTTTAACTACACTTCAACAGCCCTGTCTATGTCAACATGTTCTTGGAAAAAATATGAAACCAGCTAAGAAACACAACGGTCACGAGACCACGGAAGCCTGTCCATCTGTCCAACGAGACATTGTCAAACAGCCGTTCACTCAGGCACTCACGAGAATGTACACATGCATATTGCCAGCAGCCAATTTATGCATGAGCTTCAATGGCTATCATATGATCGGAAAACAGCTTAAGGTATTAGTGCACTGGTGGTGATAGCCATAATACAAATCAGAAGGTGTATGCACTAATAACAGTTTTTTGCATGGTTGACAGTGGTGGGTTGCGACACGTATAAAAATAAATACAATGCGAAATCGGAGCAAGTCAAAAAGGGAACTTATCGTATGTGAGTCCGTTGGTGAAGGTCCGGACGACGGGAACGTGTTTTCTGCGCAATTTGGCTGCTACATGTATTTCATGGTTGTCCGTGGAATTGGAGTGTTTGGCTGACTCCTTGCTACCTGCGCGCGCGCGAGTCTGCAAAATGGGAGCAAGTCAAAAGAGAGAGTCTGTGAGAGATCCTTGGTGAAAGTCCAGACGGCGGGAACCTGTTTTCTCCGCAGTACGACTGCTACACGTGTTCCATAGTTGTCCGTGGACTTGTGGAGAGCGGATGACCTTCTGCTCCCTGCGCGCGCGCGGGTCTGCGTGTGCTGACTGTGTTCGGTTTCCCTATATGTAGGTCCGTTTGCGCGTACGTGGGCGCGTCAGCACATGAGTGGTTGGTACGCTCACTAGACGGTGCGGACAATCGACGTCTGATGAGTCACCTTGATGTGACGTGGTTTGTGAGTATGAAAAAAGACAAGTCTCGTGATCCAGTGAGCGACTGTGGGCTGAAGAGTCAAGTGTGTGGGTGACGGGGTCGCTACAAAGGCACGACTACCTTGCCAGATCACCTCACTGCCAATCAGTTTGTTTCCTCCTGTGGCCTCTTGCGATGCTCAAACAGCTCAATTATGCCTAACCTGCCAGATGCGAGATACCACTTTGACGCCAGCAGGAGTTTGTTCAAAGATCTATTACAGACCAGAATGAACCTGAAGCCTGAACATGGCTGAAGTTGTCGCCATCCGCATCCATAGACCAGAACTTTGCATCCAGATGCTACGCTTACCATTGTCGAACCACAACGCGAAAGAAGTCACTTGCCAACAACCAGAACCGCTGCGACTGAGGATTCTGACTAGGGAACACGTGACACAATGCCCAGCTGACCTCCCCGAATCTAGTTACTTGACCTCTGTGATAGGTTTTTGTTGACCTGCTATTCTTAATGACTATATGCCGCCATCTACGCATTTTTTAGAAAAAAAAACTTTGATCTCTGGTTGTCACACCTGAGGTCCTAGATGGACTTTTTATGGCCTCAAACTCAACCCTATATGATATTCTGCATTACAGCTACGTCGGCTACTTCTCTGGGCTTGTCACCGGCGCCCTCATCCTCCAAGACCGTCTGATCTACCTCCACGCAGTGGTCTACCGTAATCCAGGACGGGGACGCTTTTTTACAACTGCACTGGAGACCATAGCAGAGAATAACAACAATGCGATCAATGGAAACTCAGTTTATGCTCATCCAGAAGAGTTTGTTTCTCAGCCTCGTCGAGTCGAAACGTTAGAGGCCGTGGTTCCCCCAGAGGAGTGGAGTCCCGAAGGAGTAGATACAGAAAACAATCTTATGGAATGGTACCGTGCAGGTGGCATGGAAATGCGAGCAATCGAAGCTGGAATGCCTAGGCCATGTAATGGTGGCTTCCCAACCGATCAGGAAGAATTGTGCCGGTTGACCAAATCAATCGAAACTGAAATGCGAGCTGGACGAAGGTTTGTCGTGGATGAGACAAACGTCCGTCTGGTCGGACCAAAAGTAGAAACAACAATGCGAAGTTTCGTAGACGTGGATGGAGGATTACAGATCAAGATTTATCAAAATTTGAAGTTGATGCATACTACTCGTCTGTTGTAAGTATAATTTACTTGGCTTTCAAGATACATTCAGGCCTATGAATAAGCTAGATTAGGGACGGCATCTCTGTTGAAGGGAAAGAAAATAACCCACAAAAGAGTCCAGTTCGTGGATGAATGCCTGCGCAAACACATCCTTCCACGTAGAGTCCAGTTCGGCATTCACCAGCAGGTCGCCCTACAAGATGAAGCCGGAAATGAGAACAACAGAGTTGCAGGATGAATTTATACCGCACGGTCTAGTCCGCAGATTATTAAGCATAAAATGAAACTGGGTTGGTTGTACCACTTACAAGGAACCAAGAGTAAACCAAACTTGATCACTCAGTAGGTCCACAACAGTCAGATACCACTTAGGGCTTGCTGAGAGCGCAGTGGAATCGATTAATCACTAATGTTCTCAGGAGCACCTACAGCCTCCAGCGCTTCAACTGATGTTGAAACTCAGCGTTAGGTTCTAGGTTGTTAGACGAGATTGCTGTTTTTTGCCGTGTTTTTTTTTGTTATTTCTTGTCACGGAGCACTCTGTAGACTGGAGTCAAGTTTTACTGTATAAAATTAGAGCGCAGTTAAAAAGGCACATGAAAGCGTGAAGAAAGAACGAAGACTTTATTTGTGCCCATGGTTGATGGTGCTCGATGCAGTGGCCTCAGACTGAGCTAAGCAGGGAGAAGTGGCGTTAGAAGAGTTATCTTACGAGTCTGAAGTTAGACTGAGCTTCAGAGGTTGAAACAGTCTTATGAGAGAACACGAAGGGGGTGACGTTGACCATCACATAGCTATCTCAAATAAAGACTACAATAAACGTATTTGTAAATATATGTGTAAACATGTTTTGGGTGTCGAACAATAAGGAATACAACAAAGGGAAGATAAACCTGCTGGTGGTAAATAACACGTGAAGTGACGAGCATCATGATAAAGTTGGGTCACGTGAGCAGCATCCTGATGATTAGACTGTCAAATATCCACCTTTCTACTTTATTGAGAGCGGTCTCGGAGAACCAACTGCGTGTCGACTGCCTCACAAGTCAGTTTTCACTAAAAGTTAAGGAAGAGAAATTACTGAGCAAGCCGTTGTAGGGATTCCCTTGAATGAGGATGGCACTCGAAGGATGAAAGACTCTAAATAACGTTAATCGGTTCAAGAATGTATTAGATTTGGTCTGTCGATTTGGATTGGTAAGCCCGGTTCGTGAAACAGTCTCTGTGTAGCTAAAAGAGGCCCACTCCATCAGCCTGTTAAGAAAAAAATCAGGAGCTTGCAAAATCGTCACTGAAGGCCAGAAGAAATAAGTGAACCACCTTGTTATTACAATCAGGCGAAAGAGCGCTTACTTCGGTCGGCTAGGCTCGGATTTGTTCTTTAACGCACAAACGGATAGAATTCCCAAGGTAGCATTGTGATCGCTATTTTATCTAGCAACACTCGTTCAGTCAGTTTCAAGGTGTACAAGCAATGGGTGTGTTAATCCGCAAACATTTTGATATACTGACCGTCAACAGAACAGTATCACGTGCCTTTTCAAGTCACACTATATTCCGCAGCAGCAAGTTAGCTTTTGAACGTAACTTTTCTTCCGAAAGCTGGTCACTTTTCTGGTCATTTTCGTTAGCCACGAGACTTCCGTCAGACTTCTACTCTGACGGCCTTGTTGTTTCATCGTTTGAAACTACCCGAGATGTATCAATTCATATCTATCAGCCAAATCGTTTGCAGGCTCATGTTCTAATAAAACACAGATTCGCGGACCGATAAAGATCACCTGCAAGGTTCAGAAAAAAACAGTCAAGTCAGCAAATAAAAATAAACCAGAGAGATGGTTGTGGGAAAACCGGTGTGGTTCACGAGAGCAGTTTTATTTAACAAAACTAGACGGGAAATTCGGAGGAAACTACTGAAACCTTTGCTGAAAACTCTTCGACTGCAGAAAGCAGGTTTTGCCCTTTTTAAGGCTCATCGGGTGGGTGCAGTTTCTGAGTTTTCGCCAACCTTCGCAGGTTATATATGAACATGAGGACTCCTCGACAATCCACCGAACGATCGTCCTTCTTGGGACTCATCAAATGGGCGTAGTCCATGCGTTTTCCTTCAGTCAACCTTATGTTCCCCCTTGAACCCATGAGCTAGTCTTTGTGTAGACCATCAATCCTCCTCAGAATAAGTGTTATATTGAACGTGCGCGGAAACTCAACACCTATATGAGTGATTATGCCACAGTACCTAGTAAGGGTGATTCCAGGACGGTGAGCCCAAAAGTGATTGTCACCAGTTTCAGCATGTAACCATCTTGATTGTAACGTTACTGCATCAGTTTTCTGACTTCCGCCTAGAACAGAAATAAAAGAAAGAAATCGTTCAGCTGTAGCACCCTTCCGGTACCTAGCTGCCATGCCACCCGAAGGAAGCACGAGGACTGGGATACTGCCAGGTTGCCCAAACCTAGACAGGGGAAGTCGAGTGGCGGAGGTCGGATTTGAACCACGGACCTTCCGGTCAGTGAATTCGCGCTATAACCGCTTGGGCCGTCTCGCCCCCTAGAACAACAGGGTTATTAACCTTCGTGCGGAGCGAACGAACCTTACCGCGAATCGCTGATGGCATTCGCAGTCTGTAGATCTTCCTACATCTGAGTTCTACAAGCCATCTGTTATGCTGCATTAGTTTACGTCCCAAGATGCTTCAGCATGGCTTGCTGTTAAAACTTTCACACTATGAACGAATTCCTCCAGAGAGGTGAGAACAGGTGGCTGTATGTTCCCTGCACGGAAAACTGATTGAAACCTACTAGTTCGAAAGCAGTAGTATATAAATCGTTGTCATTTCATAGAAGGAAACCGTTAGGTTGAAGACTCCAATGTACAGTAGGATACTCGAGAGTGCGTGAGAAATTCGGATAGGAAAACTAGATAAAATCAACCAAAAACTTTCAAATAGAAACTCATTTTATCCAAATTAATCAGACTAGGTTTGACTGAAGCAACAATGCGTAAGATCTGACTGAAATCAGAAAAATCGCCCACGGGTATTTCATGGTTTTCGAACCAGTTCCGCGAGATTTCACAGATTCAGTTCATAAAACACCTGCTCCCCAGAGTGAGGTCACCGGTCGATCCCATGTTGACCAACTTTTCCAGCATCCAGATTTTTGGAGCGATGGCCAATTTTGTGGTGCCTGAAATAGTCCAACTTTTGTCCACCATTGTTCCGAAAGCTGCATTATTTATGGCGTTACCGATGCAAACTCCGTTGCTTTGGTTGCCATGACAAAGGTATTTTAATGGAGCGAGCAATCCTCATGTCAATTTTGTATGACTTTTTCTATTGCTAAATGTGGAAAGTGCAAAATGAGTGACAATGTATTTAACCGCTACTATTTGCATTTCTCAGGTGTCCTAATGTTAATATTACGGTAGAAAAATATATCTTTCCAATCGAACCCATTCTGCCTTTACACGGAGACATATTGATCGCCTGCTGTCTGAGACCAGACATCACGACGAGTATACAAGAAATTATATTCAGGTGAGTATCACTCATTTTTCCCTGATGGGTGAAAATGCGACGAGGGTGTGTGGGAATGAGATTTCCTCGTTAAAATACGAACGGTATCCCCACGTATCGATTGCCGATAGTCTAGAAGCAATATGATTCGCTGTTATTTTACGCATGAAATTCCCATGGATTGCAATGTATCCAAATAAGGTAGGTTGATTTTTCAGGAGGGCATTAACGTTTCAGTTTCTGACATTTAATTTAGCCCGAAGCAAAAAGTAATTAGAACAGGATGTAGTTGTAAGACAACATAATTTAAGTATTGGCCAAGTTTGGAGTTTCTTTTGTCGGGTAAGTGATAGCGACATGCACAGAGAAGACAGAAAATATTGTAGGGCCATTTTGTCTTATTGGGAAATCACCCGTGGGGGGAGATTTGAACTCACAATCAACTCTAACAGGGATTACTCAACGACGAGTGGTGAAATACAGATTATTCTACCAACATGCCCCGTAAATTCTTGTTTTCAAGGCACGTTTTTAATCCTGGTGCAAGAGGCCTTACAAGGAGAGACTAAGTCGAACATTTCACAAAGTTCTTTTGGATGAATACTAGATTTTGAAATTCGTCTGATTTGTTAATTACTCGCTTGAGTTCGGCATTGACGTAATGTCGTGGTCTGGCACATCTTGAACATCATTCTAGTCAGAAAGAGTGCTGACACAAACATAGAGACAACGTTTGAATCACAGAAAGACCACCGGTGCCTCTATACCTCATCTGATCGCAAATATTCTGTCAGAATCTTCAATGTATGAAAACTTACCGCTGCGCTGGATTGAAAACTCCACTGGGAGTCAAAAGTTGTTGATCCTCAAGAACTTGCTGGATTTAATGAGTCACACTGTAAACTGGTTCGTATGGAGTTTCCTCGGACCATAAGTGAACAAGGCTCTTCTCAAATTGGCGAGGAGTACGATTAGGTCTCTTCATCCCTTAAACCCTTTTGCTTTGTACACTCAATGCAGAGGACCACTTGTAGTGGAAAGCAAATGCTTCAGCCTCAATGGACGCTGAATGACTGTCATTATCTTATTCTGATACTATAGATCATTCGTTGAGGAATCATACATTTTGGGTCTTGTAATTTGCATTCTCCCATTAAAACAGTCATACCGTGTCAATTTCTCTTCGCCTGTTGTTCATGTATGCCGGTGAACACAGTTTCGACTGGCCCGGAAGTGGCAATGTCAAAAAACCGGCTTGAATTACATAACCAATCTTC